AGATATATGTTTATCCAGTGAAGTGAATGCAAAGGTTTCATTGCATAAATGATTTTCTACGAAATGCGTTGTACTTCCGTTCTTAATGTTATTAAATTTAGACATCAGAGAAAACCTCAAGTCTGTTTGAGTTTTAATAAGGACGTGTTGTTGGTTAACACGCAGGAAAGAAAACTGAGGATACCAAATTTCCTGTGTGAGCGGGCCCCCCAAACGGACCCTAGCAAGTACCAAAAATTTTGGCCAAAACGTGGGAAATGACGCGATTTTCCCAGACTTGGGGGGGTCCATTGGCGAGGCCCAAACCAAGAGGAAATTTACAAACTCAGGAGAGCTTCCGCGATAATAAATGGTTTGGTGAAACTACGCTCCGTGGAGCCTCCGCCGAGCTTCCAAGACATGGCTGTCATTTCATGAACGCCTTCGTCTTGATCTCTCTGTTTCACCAAAAAAGGGAAGACGAAGTTTATGTCAAACCTCCGAGAAACGGTAATAAAAATGGAAGTCGAAGTATATATATATGTGGTATACTACAACTATCGTACGAAACGCTCGGTGGCCCGAAATATTGGCCCGCAGAAAACGTGAAAAACCGAAAACCCTCGCCGTGACAAACTTGTTACACTTCTCGTCTGAAAAACGTGTTGTTGCCGTCTTGCAAAAACGAAAAACAAAACAGCTTGCAGTGGAAACACTCAGCAGCGCCTTTTTGACTGCGGGGGTGAAAACCACATGTGAGTTGCCAGTTACGCACTGGAGTTGACCCCCTTAGAAAGTGCGTTCAACGAGGCATGTGGTTCCCGGTGCATCAACAGTATGGCGTCGATCACACTGTCCGGGATCCGTAGTACCCCGCTCTCTGAAGCTCCTAAGAGTTTGGCTGCTTCTTTAACTCGTTTACGAGAAGGCATGTCACTAGGGTTGCTGAAGGAAGAAACACGTTCAAGCCACACCGAGGAAGGCAGTTCAAGCTCAAGCTGTTGAAGAACGCGGCTCATAGCCAGCAAGCTGAAAGAATTAGACGACCCTTTGATGGCCACAAATCTGGCCGCTTCGTTGTCGATCCACGCAATGCCTACTTTGTTGAACAAGGCCTCGCGGCAGTGGAAGCGAAGAGCCAAATAAACAAAGAACTCAATCTGCGATATCAGCTGTTCTCCAACTTCCTCAAGCCACTTGTCTATCAGCTTCAAAGGAATCTCCACTGCAAAGACTTTTGACTCCCCCGTCTGAGGATTGTAAGTCACTGCTCCACCGGATGCTCTCCCATCCTCCCAAGCACCGTCTGTGAAAATGAGAAAAGGGTTTCTGAAAGATTCCGATCGATACTGCCGCGGAGGCATCGCCTTCAGCATAGTCACTGCCAAGTCGCAAAGTCTTTGAAGGTCACCGCTTCCAAGCGATCTAGGTATGTCTGCCAGCCGTGCAAAAGAAGACACCAAAAATCGCAGCGCTTTGGACACAAAGAAGCCACTTGCAAAGTTCAGATGACCCTGTATTTGTGCAGCCTCAGATCGCGTGATGACTCCACGATCTTTGACCGCTTCCAGCATAGCGCATAGGCGCTCGATGCGCCCCTCCTTGTTGCACAAAATGAAGACTCCTTTGTTGAGGTTGCCCAGCTGCACAGAAATTCCAAGAGCGTTGAAGGCTGAAGAAAAATCTGCTGCTTTAACACCCACTTTGGCATGGTCCCATCCAAGTAGCGTGAGCATGGCACTCATTGCCTTTGAAAGGATTGCCGATGATGCGTTGGGACTGATAGTCGGATAATCATCATAGAAGCAAGTGCAGGTCCCCCAAAGCAATTTGCATATCAAGTGGTGCAATGAACGAGAAACACGGTTGAAGCTGTAAACTGCTGCCACAGCACCAAAAGGAAGCACATCGCATCTGAAGAAAACCCAGCGGTTGCGGTGATAGTAGCCCACAACACTCAAAAGCCTCGAGGCCTTATCCACCGCTAGCTGCTTGTAAGCTCGCGACAAGTCCAGTGTCCTCCCGGACCATGTGTCGCTAGCAACATCTGGGTGCACTGGCACTGTGCACGTTGTATCATCTTCCATGTCGAAGCTCACCTTTCCAAGTTGCAGACTGTCGGCCACTGATGCGACCAATGCTGCGAGCGTGTCCACATCGTACAGCTCAAGCTTGAAGTTGGTAGTGTAAGCGAGGTTCAAGGAGGATCTTTTGCCATCATCGATTGCGCGTATCTTGCTCTCAGCTCCTTGGTAAAGGGCAAAGCGAGGGTTGAAAAGCCATTTGTCCGACCCAAAGTGAGCCGTGACTTCCTCCTCCGAAAGAGGCCCATGCAAATGCCCCAGTTCAACCTCCTTCATGGTTGCTTCATGAAGGTCGTCCTGCACGCAGTCCTCCATTTTAGAGTGTTCAGCACCCATCAAAGCCTTTCTCCGCCAGACTGAAGATTCCAGTAACTCATCTACCGAAATCAGTGAGGGCCTCCAGTCGTCTGGGAAATTCGGCGGCTTGGTATGGCTGCCATAAAGTGGAATCCCATTGGTGACCAGGTCAACCACCTGCATGTCTGCAAAACCTGTAGTTTCCAACAAGTGCTTCCACAAACACAACCGCTTGTTAGACAAAACATGTGCAGTCTGCTGATCCATGGACGCTTTCAGCTGTTGTTCTTCTGCCGCTAGTTCTGAAGCTTTCCTATGAAGAGCCAAAACCACACTCAGTCGATGCTTAGCCACTTCGACTGGACTGGAACTCATGACATGTATCACAGCCTCTTTCAAAACAAGCGGTAAAGCTTTCTGTGGATCTTTTGGATGTAGAACTGCTTTTGCCTCCTCAAAGAACTCTTCGGGTTTCCACTGGATACCGTATTTGAAAGTTTTCCTGACCCTCTTGTGTTCGGACTCCAGCTGTCCCTCGTTCTCGGAAAGCAACTCTGTAGATTGTGCCCCCGTAGGTGGAGTTGCCAAAAGTTTGTACCCTTCTTGGGGATCCTCTACAGCAGAATGGTGAAAACCTTTGAACTCTGGAATTAGGGGTTTGGCTTTGGAGGTTTGGACCCCCCATGCATGTCTTGCCTTTTGAGCTGAAGAAAGATGGGGACCCAAGCGCAAGTGCCGCTGTTCTGCCTGTCTTTTCAAGCATGCTGCCATACGAGTGCTCAGAACTCGTGGGTATTCTGCCTCCAAAGCTGTTGCAAATTCCAAACCAGATCCTCTTTTCACGACAAACCAAGGTTTGTGCTGATGACTGTTGTCGCATTCTGCCGCCAGTTCATCGTAAAGCCCTTGTGACGCCAACAGTCGCGTCCTTTTGTTGCGCTCTCCACCATGCATACACGCATGGAAGTCTGTAGAAGTCAGGGCTGCATACCATTTGGTAAACTCTGCATTGTTGATCGCTGCAACCAACTTAGTCAGAATTCCCCACAGCCAGCTTCTGGCGGGGTTTTCAACCGAAACCAAAATATCAAGTTCGAAGCAAAGAAACAATAGTTGCACTCCGAAATAATACAACGTGTTTGCTGCTTGAACTTTGGCCAGGTTTGTGCCAACAAGTCCTGGCATGCCCATCAAGTGCTCGGCCGATCGAAGCGGTGGAGGTGCGCTATGCTGGCTCCTCAAGTGCTCTGGCAATTCACGTTCCCTTGCACGAGAACAGGTCCCGCATGGGAGACCCAAATGAATACTCAAAGGTCGAAGTTGTCGAACCATATCTAAAGCAGTCTGTTGAGAGTGCTCCTGGGTGAGATCTGCTAAAATCAAAGCGACCTTAGGTCGATGGCGATTATGCTCATGGTCAATGCTGTATGTAGTGAACCCTGCTTGACGCATAGCTGATGACAAGTTACCTGACCCAGCACAAAATTCAATAAATACTGCATTGCGCTCAGTGATACTTGATGCCAACTCAGGTCAGGAGCTCCCAACATGAGAGCATTCGTGAAACGGAAATGGACAGTTGCAATTCACCTTCCAACACACGTGATACCCGTGCATGCACCTCTTGCCTGCTTTGATGTTGGCTCGACATGCACCAACATTGAACTTCATACAAATCGGCTTGTTCTTGTTCTCGCCAAACTTAATGGCGCACCCATCAGGAACCTGGATGCGCCCTTTTGCCTTGCTCTTTGCCGCCAGCCTTGCCTTTGCCTTTTTGCTCTGGAGGGCTTGCACGGTTTTGTGGGTATGGCTGAAACCTCTGGTTGGATGAAGAAGCCTGTGAACTGTCGCGCAACGGCAATGGCAGCATGTGAAACTGGACATCTGGGTGATGCGATAACTCCTTCAAAGCAGCATCAACGTTCTTGACTCCATCTGCTGTCACGCCTGTCACTCGTGAGCGTGTCTGTTCAGCCACTTTCACCCACAACTTGCGATCAGCTTGAATGATCTGGTCGGCTGAAATATGACGATATCCGGTTGGTGGTTCCTGACATATGCGATCAAAAAGCAACTGTGACCATGACTCCATGACTTCAAACGATGCAACATTTGCCAGGTCATATGCTAGACTCCTTCGGGTGAAGGCTGCACGGAGCCTGATCTCTCCTGTAATCGAGCACTCTGTGACAGCGCTCTGCTTTGACACCTTGATGTTTCCCTGAGCATCGAAGGAAAGCTGTGATGTAGAGCGCTCACTTTTGATCTCCTGTTCCCGTGAAGTACATTTGTTTAAATCAGTGCCTATGCCGCCACGCCATCAATACTTCCTAGTTACCGGGTGCAAAAACACGCACCAAAAACCATCAAACCAAAAACATGCAAGCGAAAAAGGGTGACATCCAGACATGACACGGATCGCAGCATAAGCACCCTTTTTCTTGCGGTACAACTCGGGGGAATCCGGTGCCATGCAAGCCAGCTGCTATTGAGATAGCAAACCAAGTGAGGACCGCATCTGTCCCAACACATCGAAGTATCCATCGATGTTCAATGCTGCTCGGCACATGAAGCCACAGTTGACACTGCTGTGTCACCGGCCTCCATCACAGAATCATCTCTGCACCCTTCTGCACCTCAATACCAAGACAGGGCCTCACCCGCGGCGCTAGTGATGACCATAGGCTCGGCGACGGCAGGTGCAGTCGATGAAGCCGAAGAAGTTGCAGCGGTGGCTGCCACTGGTGGGTCTGTATCAAGGTCGATCGCTGAAGCCGCGGGTGCAGGGATTAAGGATTGGAGGCGCTGTTTCATGCGCAACATCGATTCTGTTGTGCGAAACAAGAGGATCGAGTCAAGCAACATGTTGTTGAACTCCATGTGCAACACCGTATCATACTCAGCGACAAACCATTCATGAAACTGTTCGAGGGGTGCAATCGCCTGGAAGATGGTGGTCGCGGAGTCATTAAAGTTGTCCAGGAGCACATCAGACAACGGTCGCGGCTCAGGTGGTAACACGATGTGCAGTTCCGTCTCGGGTGGCTGGTTAGGCCACAGGATCCTCTCGAGCATAAATATGCTCTGTGAGAGCTGCACCCAAAGCGACCAAATACTTTCCATGTATTTGGCCCGGCCAACTTGCTTCAAAAGAAGTTTGGAAGCGGAGACAATCTTGTCAAAGGCCAGCAACCGCTGCTCTTGGAGGTTTTGCGCCAGCTGCATGTTGTGGTGTATCGGCTCTAAGTATCGAAAGGCGATACTGATCGCGGCCGTGAGTCCCACGATCACGTCTGGGGACATCGAGGCTGCCAATTGGTATGAACGGTTCAGTATTGAGCTAGGAAAGCTGCCAAAAGCATGAAATTGGAATGCATTAGGCTGTTGATGGAAAGCACTTGGGTGGGAACGCCAGTGGGGTGGGCGTCGAAATTTTTTCTAACCCTTGACATCAAAAATGGCAACTTGAGAAGGGAATTCACAAGTGCAAGCGAACCAAGACTGGGATGTTGCCTAACCGTCAAACACTGAAAAGAGTTTGTTGGATCACAAATAAACGATCAGTGCATTCCTTGTAAGTTCGCCTGACCAACGTTTGGATTAACAGAGCTTGAAGTTGGACTTTGGAAACAGGTATGGCAGACCAAGAGAAAGTAACTGTTTGTTGCGCAAGGGCGCATGGTTAGTTTAAATTAGATAGCGTGGCTAAAAGTTTATGGTTTATAAACTTTTCTGCGGCTTAAGATTTAAGGCACTATCAACACGTTGACCGTTTGCTTAAATCAGTGCCTACGCCGCCACGCCATCAATACTTCCTATTTACCGGGTGCAAAAACACGCACCAAAAACCATCAAACCAAAAACATGCAAGCGAAAAAGGGTGACATCCAGACATGACACGGATCGCAGCATAAGCACCCTTTTTCTTGCGGTACAACTCGGGGGAATCCGGTGCCATGCAAGCCAGCTGCTATTGAGATAGCAAACCAAGTGAGGACCGCATCTGTCCCAACACATCGAAGTATCCATCGATGTTCAATGCTGCTCGGCACATGAAGCCACAGTTGACACTGCTGTGTCACCGGCCTCCATCACAGAATCATCTCTGCACCCCCATTTGACCGCTGCAGGGATGATCCCCTGTCCCATTGATGGGAAGCATGGACAGGCAGTGATTAACTGTTACTTCAACCAAAACATTTAAGAGGAACTTAGCAGGGATATCTCCCAAGGCTCCACGGGACGAGCCATCTGCAGTACTACTAGGCGAGGGGACTCTAACATACCAAGCAACAAGGCTCAACCTACCTTCAAGATGAAAATTGGCAGGAACCAGCTCTTTGCCTGAAGGATTTAGAGCCGACCCACTTATGCACACGCCACGGGTTGAGTTATTATCGGTATAATCCACAACGATGCTATTTCCAATGCGCTTCTTCCACAGTGTCAACGCAACCAACAGGGCATGCATTCCAGCTTCGAAGATAACCTTGCTTATCCCGGGGGATCCTAAGTATGCCAGGCGCTCAGGCTTGAGCTTCAAGGAGAAGGCAAAAGGATGGGACCCTGTGCAATCAACCAGAACTCAACCTAAACCTTCCCGGGCCATGTAACATCGTTGGGAGAGACTGAGGTAGCAGGCTTCTCAGTGTCCACAGAGGAGACACACCACTCAACCAGCGCTCGCAATTTATCTCGATCACCAGGGCTCCGAACCGCACATCAATTGGTAGGTCCATGTCACCAAGGGCTACTGCCCACCCCAAGAGCTTAAAGAATTAGAGCGCAGTACAAGATACCAACGGACACTCAGGCTCACGCGCCGACCCGATAAAGTCATCAAAGGGGGTTGCTCCCGGTTTGATGAAGAGCTTTGCACCCAGCCACCACAGGGAGTGGGCTGCACAGAGGAACCCTTAAACGCTCTTTGTTGGGCCCCAAGAGGCAACTCTCTTGCAGCAAGGGTTTTCAGCTGGCCCGAGGTAGGGTCATACACTTCAATGTAAGAAACCCCTTTGGTGGCAGGAGAAACCCCAAGCCGCCTGTGTGCTAGGAGGGGCCGAATGTCTTTCCAAAACACTACGCATCACCACAAACTCTTAACAGTTCCATGCATAAGACTGCTACAATATCCAAGGTGTGAAGTCCGAAGCTGTTCCACCTGAACAGTATCATTGACCCAAGAGGTTGAGACGTCACCGATAGGTCTGACTTTCAAGACGCACCCACGACATTCTTTATGCCAAAAAGCCTACTCACAACTGCCACTGCATGAAGGTCTGCTAGCCCGAAGGGGCCCTCAAGCCATCCGCAACCAAGCTCTTCAAGGGTCTTGGCAAAAACCGCTAGTCGAACTCCGCATCTCCAGACAAGCTGCCGGTTCAAAACATGGCACACCTCAATGCTTCAGCGGTCTGGGCCAATCCTTCCAAAGACAATTTGGCAGGTTTACAACAAGGATCAAACGCCGGGACAGCCTCAACCGGACCAGCAAGGTCAATGCTTTCAACGACTTCTCCAGGCACCCCACAACCCGGATACTGTGGTACTGCAGCATCTCTTTCCAAAGGAATATCTTTTTGGGCACAAGGATTTGCTGCAATGACTCGGGCAGACTTGCATGAAAGGCGGATTCATCCCCACACTAAGATCTTACTCTTACCAACCAGGGCCAGCACGGCATGGCGACGTTTTGCCAGCTCCCCGATGGGCACGATTGCTACACACTGGGCAGCTTCATGCAGCGACCATGGCTATTTTAAGATTTCCCAACCGGGTGCCCTGCTTTCACCACAGCATCGACAAACTGCAATCCCATGTGGCAAACACCAGAATAAGCAACTGGCCGATCCTGCAGGGCATGGGTATCCTCTGAACTGGCTGGTCCTGCAGGCATGGATATGCTCTGAACTGGGCTTACCTTAACAAGGCTCACTGGGGCTCTTAAATGGGCCGGCTGGCCAATTTAGGTTATCAACACGAAGTTTATCCCCATAAGGTTTATCCCCACAACCCTTCTTACTACCCATAAGGTTTATCCCCACAACCCTTCTTACTACCCATCTTACCCCCATTTAACCGTAGGGATGGGCTACGCAGCAGGCTTGACCCTGGAGGCACATACTGAAGGGCGTGTTGGAGTTGTTGTCCATGTTAAACAGGCAGTCCATCCGGTGGACTTGCAGGCATGGAACATGGGGGGATCTGACAACAAGAGCGGCAATTGGCTGGCTTTCGGATGGGTTCCGACAACTGCCCTTAGATACCGAAATGAAACACTTTCGGGTCCAATGAACGCAAGGCCTGGGGAGAGAATTGCAATCTTTAATACAAGGGCACAAACATGGTTCGCCAGTGCAAGGATACTCTTGGGTTCTCCACATCAACAATCATGACAAAGTCCAGGTAAAAGACATACATCGGAAATGAATCTGGACAAGTGTCTGCGGTCCAAACACGACTATGATTCACATGGCTCATGCGATCAAGGACATCTGGCTGGTATTCGGACCCCAGTGGCTGGTATGAGCACCATTTGGGGTTCCTTTCCATGCAGCTTGGCGAGCGTACCCATGACCAGCAAATTGCTGGCCTTCATCTGATGTGATGCGTGCCACAAGGACCAGACCAGCGTTCCTCTGTTTTTGCGGTCAACACCGAAGGATGCTGGAATGCCAAGGGATTATAGGCATGATGCGACACGTGCTGAACAGGCACAATTCTTAATAACGAACGGCTCTTAAGGCAGGGCTCACAAAATTTAGAAAGATTTGCAAAAATTTGAATTGACTGGCCTTTGAGTTAGCTCACTCTTCGGCGGCTGCTGCTCAGGCGCGCTATGGGCGTTGGAATTCCACTGGCAAGACCCCTTGGGGGTTCGTTGTGCATAAAGGGACAGGTCCCCTCAGGAAGCATCGCTGCCCAGCTATCGACTTTGTGTTTCTTTCTGGCTGGAGCATTGGGTCCAATCAAGACTTTTTGTGATCCATCATGCAATGTGGCCCATAACAAATACAACACATGTGGTACCCCTTACGACATCGGCCATCTGTGACAAGTTCCTTGCACTTCTTCAGAGAAAAATCGAAACAAATCGGCTCTCCGTCAGGGGTTGATGCCGTTCCACCAGCTTCTCGAATTTCACGTGGCACCCGCTGGTCTGAATCCATCTTGGACTTCCCTTTGCCTTTCGAGCCGTATGGCTTAAATCGGCCAAGGTCCTTATGACCACCTTTCGTTTGAACCGGTGGCTGAGGCTTTGCTGATGGCCCAGAAGGCTGCGCTGCAGTTGTTTTGGCAGGTTGTTTCAAGGGCAACGGGAGCAAGGCAAAACTAACTTCGTACGACTTCAATGATTCCTCAAGCTGAGTATCCAGTTGGAGGACCCCAGCAGCATCAGGGCGTGGCTTAACGTTCTTTTCAATAAGATGACTCCAGGATGCTTTATCAGCAGCCAGCAACTGTGAAACATTACACCGGCTGTAACCCGATGGCGGGTCTCTGTTCAAGTGGGCAAACAACAGTTGCACATACTTGTCATGACAGGTGAAAGACATGACGTTGGCAAAGTCCAGGGCCAAACCCCGTCGTTTGAAAGCCTCAAGTGATTGGTATGAAGACTGAATACTAGTCTCAAATTCGTTGTCTTTGTCCCGAAGCACCACTTTTGACGCTTCAACCTCCAGGAGTTTCAACTGCGGCTTGTTATTGTGAGCCAACTCAGTCAATCGGCTATAGCATTTCTCGAGAGGGATGAAGCGCAAGACATTTTGATCATAAAGCTGCGTAGCTATGTCCAATAGGGCATGGCTGGGCTCGGAGTGGCCTTCAACAAGCACGCCAACAAGTCTATTTTTCAAACTGGTGAGCCTGGACTCCCTTTCGGCAGGAGCGACTTTTCGGGCTATGCTGGGCTCTGGGTTCATGACTTGCTCCTTCAAAATAGCAAGAAGTTGTGTTTGACTTTCAAACAACAAACGTTTCAATGCTGCCACCCCTCCAACCAGCTGCCTCACCCAGTTTTGGAATTCATCGGGATTTATTGGCTGCCCTGGTTGTCCATGGGCATAGGCAAGGGATGAAATGGTGCATACGCCAGCACCCTTAAGGGCATCTTGCAGGCTTTGAGGGAGCTTCACCTGGCCCATACGAAGCTCAAATTGTGCTTCAGAATCTACAATCGAAGTCATAATGGCTCGGCGCAAGAATGAATGGCGCGGGGCAATGCCGTTGAGAATCTTATGATCAAACAAAATACTCAAACAGTTTGCCCAAAAATTATTTGAAGCACTTTTGCCGAGGGA